CAGGTGTTAAGGGCCTCACTCAGGGGCCCAACTCTGACATCACACTGCCAGCCACAGGATTTGAACCAGCAATGTCCCGATCGCAGGCGCAGTGTTCTGAAGCGCTGCCACACACTGCACCCAGCAGAGGACACGGCCACACTCTATGGGCAATTCACAGACCACAATTAGCCTATAACTGCATGTCTTTAGGCTGTGAAGAGGAAGCTGGAGTTCCAGGAGGAGACAGAGCATAAAGCACGTGCAAATCACGTCCTTCCTCCGCTTCTCGCTTCTTTCAATTAATAGACAAGAAGAAATACATGGAATAAAATATGCATATTTTCTTGTTCGACTTGCCCAGCTTCATTGGCTAATGACTGTGTGTATTATTCTGTGAGTAGTGTAAAGTAGCTCAACTCCTTTGGACTAACTCCTTCATCTGTAATACACCCCGTGAATAAACGGTCTCTGTTTAGGAGGCGCGTCTCCTCGCGCTCGCCCGTGAATGAGGTGCACGAGCCACATCCGTCTGCAACTTCCGCACACACGCATGATCCGGCAGCTTCGAGCCAACAGGCGGCCAGCTCCAGGTAGAACAGAGTTTCTCAGTCTCCTAAAAAGAAGTAACTAACTAAAGACAAGACGAGATTACGCCAGGCGACTTCACACTGATCGCTTCAGCTTTGTCTTTGCTGCTCACGCATCCATGGCACCTACCACGCAAAGAGATGTGAAAAGCCCGAGTCCCATCAGTAAGACAACTACGATGTAATAATGGCATAGGTGTTAAATATTTTGTCTTTCTCGTTGTAACACACAAATCTTAACTGTCGCACAAGTCGTTTAAGAGCAGCTGGTAATGTTTAACTAGGTTACAACAGTATACAGCCCGAAGACAGATCAAATAGGCCTATGTAATCCTTCTGACAAATATTACCATTATGTTCACGACAACACTCTTGATTACAAATCCAGTTTTTATTAGATCAGACTATTGCCGGCCTTATGGGAAAAGTAAAATGCGATTTTGAAAAGTGAGATTTATATTTTGTGAATTACATGCATACACGTACAGCAGCAGTAAAAAGTCTAAAGCGTGTAAATGTTTATACTTGTCGGCTGCGACTTCAACACACGGAGCTGGAGAAAAACTAACCTGGGATGAAAAATGAGGGTATGTTTGGAGCAAAATCCCGCAGAGGGGTTGACAGAAGAACGCCGCTCCCGCTGGAGCTGCTGGGGGATGTGCGCAATCGCGCACAGTAGCCTGTGCGCGCCCCGGAATGCGCGCACTAGGGGGAGGTGAGAATAATCTGCTAATTATTTAAATTTTTGCTGTACGCCACGGTTTGAAAGAGAAAAAAAAAAGTAATTTAAAACCATTGGAGAATCGCTCGCAGGTACGTACGCAGTCCACAAAATAATCAAGCTGAAATAACTAATTAGAAAGTCAACTATTAATATCCTGGGTGCAAATTGCCTGCGAAAAATAATAGGAGAGCCGCGGTTTTCCACTCGTTTGATAGTAGCAGATAAATATGTCAGCGTTTCCTCCGCAGTACATAAGCATACCAGGGAAGGCGACAGCTTAAAACCAGGCCATTATACGGAAGACAAGCCGGCGTCCGTTTTGTGATGTCGCTGCATGCGGCGGGTTGCTGCCACCGTATCACATTTCAAGCGGACGATATTCCCAAAGAAAGGCTCCGCAAAGACAAACACAGCTCACAAGAACAGAAATACCCCATTGATCGCACTGAACCTCACTGCCCCTCTCAAAACAAGGAAAAGATGAAATCACAATTCACCAGGTGGATGATTTTAATGCACGCACATTAGTATAGGTCAATTCATGTGCTTTAAATAGGATTTCAAATGTACTGCTAAATTACACAGAAAACGTCATGCACTAACCACCGCACAATCATGTTGTTTAATTTGGTCGACTTAATGGAAGAGGGAGTAACAAACACATTAAATGACATGACCTCAGCTTATTTCTTTACCAAATAACATCAAGTTCATTTCTGCAGCTCCATACGCTAGCAACTCAGCACCTGGGCTGTTGAATGTGAACCTAACCTTTAATAACGTGCCTCTTCAGTGAGCGATTCCCAAACTATACGGCTGAATAGAAAAGTCTGCCAGATCACCCCCGCAAGCACAGCCGTCATTAGCGACATCTTTCCTAATTACGGGGGTGAGTTTCGATATCAATACGAAAGCTGCAACGGGTTTCACAGGCATCACGAGTCTAGCGAGAAGGCCAAGAATTTTCCTTCTTTTTTTTAACGTTGAATGGATTGAAAACGAGTACATTCTACAAGGTAGTCTTCATTAAACGCGATTGGCCAGTCAAACTGCATGTACTAGGAATTTGTTTTGGCAGTATTGTTGCTTATATTCACAGAAAACATAGAAGAACAAACACAAAATCAATTAAAAAAAATAGATAGGTAGAAATGAAATAACAGAATAATGGTATTGCAGAGCAGGCTATGCAATATACTAACGATAATTATATTTACAGCCAATCACAAGCTCATAACAAAAACACAAGCAAACCCTACACACGAATTAGAGACACCATAGGAAACACAGCGAAAACAAGCAAAATGGACGCACACACAGACGGAGGCAGAATTCAAACCCCCAACCCAGGATGTGGGAAGCAACAGCGCCCCCCACTGACAGAGACACCCCAAGGCACTTATAAGGGCGTCAGACCAACACAATTGAAGAATTAATATTAGCCAGGACACCACAGAAAGGGAAACAAAACAAAAAACCAGAACACAAGGTATGCATTAAGAGAAAACATTTCCGGGGGGGGGGGGGGGGGGGGGGGGGGGGGTGGTATTTCGCCACCTCAGGCCCTGGACTGCTTTCTGATAGATTGGGAGAGACTTGGGGGAAAAAACTGCTGAAGAGGTACATTCGACATGAGCTGTAGTACCGCAATTCATTAGCTAATGGGACGTATTCTATTAGAATTCAATTCGACACTGACTGCACTGGCTTTAACGGCAACTCAAACACACGTGGAAAGTCATACGTTTATGCTCGTCTTCTGAGAAGGTTTATCTCTGGGAGGTCTTGTACATCGGACAAGTTATATATCCCTAGTTTGACATTTATTATCGTAAACAGATTTCCATAGGAACGCGACAGCCATTTTAAGAAACGCAGCCTTTCTGATACACGATGAACTCCCTAACCTCCATAAGCAGTCCATAAAACTGAATTTAAAAGGGGACAATCATCTATGATACGATACTTTGGGGATCTTTCGAAGCAGGAAATCTATGAATATTTACTACAGAGAGGCTATATGAACAAAACATTAACATGCAGGTCAGCTTCTTGAAACTATACATGTGGTTGCATTTGATCCGCAAGGCTGTAATTACAGTGCCCCATACCCTCGAAACTGTCAGAAAGCTAAAGTGCATTCTTTCAGGTCCTTTATCATTTTTTCCCCGGAAAGAAATAAAAAATAAAATAAAATCAGGGGGAAACCCCCAGAATTTAACTATGGGCATGATACCATTGTAAATACCTGTAAAAAGCACATGCGTTTATATTCCTTAAACAGACAGAAGTAGTAAAAGGAGATTCATAAAAGCACTTCTAAAACTGACCCCTTTTGTTTTGCGTGTCCCACTGTTATGGCAAAAATGTAATGATCACAAGGCGTACACGAATGTCACATGAGAGGAGGATATTGCCTGAGTCTGAAAAGTACCTGTGGTTTTTTGCTTACACGCGACACCAGAACGGGTACCGTTGAAATGAGCATTTCCTCATATTAGCCCACAGACAAACTCATCAGAGGATTGCATTGACTCGAACTCATGGACGTGTAATCCTTCATGTAAAGTAAAATGGGAGGTAGGGGGACACGGCGGGGTTTGGACAAGATGGCACATTACGGGAAGGCGAAGGGAAAGAAAATCACAGGGAATTAAAGTGATCACAATCAGCTACTATTCATGGTTGAATTTCGCCGTTATCTACGAGTTGTTCATTATAAAACGAAGAGGCAGACTGCACTGACTGTTAAGCTTAAAGTTACCATAATTATGCAGGGCTGCTCTCTAGGGTCAGGGTTTCCTAGGAATACAAAGCTTTGTCCCGGAATGGCCCACGCACCGCTTAAAAGCCTATAATTTCGCCAACAGCAAAACACGTACCTGTTTTATAAAAGGTGCGTTGACTTTTAAATGTCACGAATAGTGTCTGCATTTTTCGCTTGTAATCTCAGACCGCAGAGTTCTTTCGCTGGCCCAGAAAATGCGGCGAAATGCGGCTTAATCCTGCGTTTCCCCTGGGCATCTCCGGGAAAACCCGTTCTGTGTTGCATTACAGTAAGGGCACGGCTTGTGCATGGCCACGGCGACCTAGCGATGCACGCCGGGACCACTGGCCAACGCGAGTAAACGCCGATCTCCAAAATGTTAACAGGAAAGTATATAGTTGACAAGCCGTGCGTCGGCTAAGCATCTACGGCGACGGCCCCAGTGCCTATCCAGCGATAAATCGCCTTTTACAGACAGGTGTGCTGCGGAGAAAAGACGCTGGCTGGCTGAACCAGACATTAGCCGTCCTAGTTTAGCTGATATTACTACGTTCCAGTGGCTGAAATACCACACGGGCCCACGTTAATTCATTAATACAGAATTGCATGCGATCTATGATTTTTTTAAAAGCGCTTTCATCCGGCAAGAGTTGATCTGATAAACAAGCTGGATTCAATGGATGGTGCTCGGCGCCGCTCAAACTGCAGCCGGGGCCGGACTGCAGCGGCGGGCGCCCGGCCGGTAAGCAGACTGCCTGCCTTTAAAGGGGTATATCGCCGGCGCAGGATCAAGCGCAGCGCCCGCAGCATCCATATTGGTTAGGCGGATAGTAGCCACTGCCGGTCAGCAGTAATCCAAGGACGGCGGAATTACCAGCCCAGTTTAGAGAGGCTGGGGGGAAGCAATCCGAGGATCATTTCCGATCAAGCAGCTTCTTACCGTTCAATCTTGCTCGGTGGTCAGCGTCCCAGGGGGGCGTTCGGTTCCGTCACCGACACTTAGATTAGTGTTAATGTTGTTATTATTATTATTGCATCCCAACGAAGCAGCACATAAACGTAGCAAGCGAGCAACCCACAGCGACTCAGCCACAGCTCGTCCCCGAGAGAACGTCAGTCGACGTGCGCGCTCCCGACTGCCTTGGCCAGAATCCCTGGAGCTCGAGAAGTGTGTGAAGGTGGAAAGGAAAGTAAAGGCAGGTTTGGGGTGGTAAATAAATGCATAGCTATTTAAAATATGGATTTTTACATAACGTGTGAACTTAGTGAACTGTTGTTAGTGCACACGTTGGCTTATTGCATAATATTTTATAGTCATATCAACAGCGAAGTTGATACAAAATTAGGCCTACTTAATTGACAAGGCGTCAAATGAATTACGTATGAGAAACTTAAATGCATTTATTAGAAAACTGATCTTATGTGGAGTACATTAGGAGTGTTATACGCAGTGGCGTTGTGCCAATTTAGGTAGGCACGTGCCTAACCAATATTCTGTAAAATGTAACTTAGAAATTAATCATTCATTCATTCGTGCCTACATTGACTGAATAAAATAACACGTCGTCAAACTTGCAATTTGGGTAATCTGGCCACTGAGCTACCTCCATCAGATCGCATCTCTTAATCTCTATTTCCTTATCTGTGTTTTACAGCGATAACGCTACACGTGACCAACGAGGTGTTGCCTCGAGACATTCACGACGCACATCACAATAAACGTGGTTAACTGGACATGTTTGAATGTATAATAGTGACATGAAGTTTAAAGAACATTAGTATCTGCGTATGTGTATTTTTTATGTCCTGTGAGTGGTTTTGAAATAGTTCCTACTCACAAATTTGGTTCCGCATTAATTTTTCATATTTTAATATTTAGTAACACTCCCCATTAACGGGCTTGAATTGGGGGGTCGTAGGCATTACAGTACGTGATAATAAATAATTCAGGATAAGATGTGAGCTTCAAGCAGACACCCTTCTGGCCATAATGCTTGATAGCAAAGAAAGCTTTCATATACCCAGAAAACGGACTTGTATTTTAGAGGTTTTAGTGAAATCTAAAAGTCCTACTAAAAATTATCCCCTAATTATAAATCTGAAGTACCTATCCTATACTGTTAGACTTTCGCCTTTAACATAACGCGCATGACACTGCTGAGTAATGACGTCGGCCCGCCGCGAAATCCCGTTCCGATTGCGGAAGACGCCGAAATATCGCGGTGTTTCGTCGCCGCGGCCTTGTGCTGGTCCTAGTTGTTCACAGTGTGCAGCACACTTGCAGGTACAGTTTTTACCCCTCTATACTGATAATACTGAACGGAAGTGTATTATGCGAACGATTTACACATAAACGACATCCTCGTCTCTTGCTAAAAAGCCAGTGGGTCGAGGTTTTGGCCTCTTCGTCTAATAGTTGAGGCTGGTCTCTGCTAATTCCGTTTCCGGCTTTGGAGTAAAGATACCTGATGATACCGGTGCCCCCAGCTGCTACTGCTTCGGGTGTCTGATTGAAATAGAAAGAAACGCCAGGTCATCCACGGTGTAACGCTAGCATTGCAATTAAGACGAAGGTTTACTCATACTTTAAGCAGTACTGCTATCTTAACTTGCTGATTCGTTTGTTATGGCGTCGCGGTTGCGCCCCGCATTGGCTGATGTTCCGCGTTATTCCTCCCCACCCCGGCACTATGTGATGTGAACCACAACTAAGCATCATGACACTTAAATACAGTTTGCACTAGGCCGCGCTGCTCGAAACACCAAGGTCCACACTTAATGATATTCTGTCTAGCAGACTTCATAATGAGTTATGCGGAAAAGCCGGAGGAAGTCACGCAAGGAGAATGGACGGAGCGGCTCCATAACGTACATATACAAAGAGCTGACATGAACCGGCTCATCATGAATTACTTGATTACAGGTAACTAAGGAGCAGGAAATTATGCGATCAGAGAGTGCTTCTGATAATGTGTAATCCAAAGCTGGTGCCTTTGGTTTCTCAGAAGGGTTCAAGGAAGCTGCGGAGAAATTCAGGATGGAGTCAGGAATCGAACCCAGCGTGGACCTGGACTCGCTGGATGAGAGAATAAAGATCCGAGAAATGATCCTGAAAGGGCAGATTCAGGAAGCTGTTGCACTGATTAACGGCCTTCACCCAGAGCTCCTGGACAGTAATCGCTATCTGTACTTTCACCTCCAGGTAACGTTATAGTTAAACTTGACGTCCTGTAAATGGAAACGATATATTAAGCACTCATTTACAGCCTCCTACCTACTGGATTACTTTTGCTTTGTTGATAGGGAAAGTAAATGAGTTAAAAGAGAAAGAAATAAGGCTGCAAAAAAATCATGTTCCTCTGTCTGTTCACCTTTGCCTAATTTTCTCGTGATTATCTATGCTTTATGTCTGCTGCTGGATTCCACTCATATTTCCTCAGCCATTGGCTATAATCCAACCTCCTCATTTGCACATGCCTACTTGACATTTTTTAACCCTGTTACTGTAATGGGATGTACTGCTGGAGTGATTTGGGATAAATACCATGCACAAGGCTTTTGCCGTTGTGTTCGTCCTCGAACCAGCAACTCTGGGGTTACTAGCCCGTGGTCTTAACCACTCTCATTTTGTCAATCCTTTCTCAGTATTGGCATTGTTGTTTCTGAGGTCCAACTCAAAAAGTCATGTTACACCCTTCCAGATGATTCAAAAACTAAATAAATAACTAACGAGTAGAGTCAGAAGACCATAACCATCTGATAACAGGACATGCTGCTTCAGCATCTTATAAATGAGGAACTGGTTTATTTAATATTTAGTGTAGTGACTGCTGGATGCCAACAGGGGGCGCTGTCTTACCATTTTGTGTACATGCATGGTTCGAATGGTGGTAAACACTCCTCACCCGTGCAGTGGTCCTAATGCTTCCCAGCCCCCCTCTGCACTCTGCAGCAGCAGCACCTCATCGAGCTGATCCGGCTGCGCGAGACAGAGTCTGCACTAGAGTTTGCGCAGATGCAGCTGGCAGAGCAGGGCGAGGAGAGCCGCGAGTGCCTGACGGAGATGGAGCGCACATTGGCCCTGCTGGCTTTCGATGACCCGCAGGACTCGCCCTTCGGGGACCTGCTCAACGTGATTCAGCGGCAGAAGGTGAGCCGGCCACTGGCCGCCATGCTCTCTCTGACCAGTACACCTCTCTGATTTTAATGCCCAGTTTACACACTTTTTATACCTCAAAATAAGATATACAGTACTTTACGCTCTATTCATCTCTCCGTTTATTCTGATGGAGCAGCACAGTGGTTAGCTCTGTCACCTCAGACCTCTGGGACCTGGGTTCGAGGGTTGCATGTGTGTGGAGTTTGCATGTTCCCCCTCGTGTCATTGTGGGATCTCTTCTGGGTACTCCGGTTTACCCCCACAGACCAAAAATATACCAACTTACCAAATTACCCATAGGTGTGAGTGTGCCCAGCGATGGGTTGGCACCCCATCCTGGTTTGTTCCCTGCCTCGCACCCGTAGTCTCTGGGTTAGGCTCCAGACCCCCTGTAACCCTGAATATGACAAGAGGTTACAGAAAATGGATGGATGGATGTTTATTCTAGTAACCAGTATTCTGGTTTTCAGTAGTTTTTCAGTATTTAATAGTATTATTGCTTACATTCTTGTTTCACTTTGTATATAAACCCCTGTTCACCCGCTGTTTCACACTGACCCTGTGTTTTGCACCTTAAATCCTGTGACAACCCTTCCCCTGTCACTCACTGTCTGTGTGTTGCATTGTGGTCCTGGGGGAACACTATTTCTTACCCATGTACATGGATGGTATGACAATAAAGCCCACTTTACTTGTCTAAGCGTGCGTCAGTATCAAGGACCTCTTTTTGTTAAAGCTGCGTTGTGGTTGTGCCACTTCTGGAATTGCTAACTCATTCTCATTGTGCTGATGTGTACAATGACAACAGTGAAGGATTGAATTGAGTACACATGGATGTTGCTGCCCCAGGTCTGGAGTGAGGTAAACCAGGCCGTGCTGGATTACGAAAACAGGGAGTCGACACCCAAACTGGTCAAGCTGCTCAAACTGTTACTGTGGGCTCAGAATGAACTGGACCAGAAGAAGATCAAGTATCCCAAGATGACCGATCTGAGCAAGGGGACAACAGAGGAACCGAAATGAGTGTTGGGGCAGAGCGGCTGCTCCGTGGGATGGCGAGGACTTTTGAGATGTTTCTTGCTATTTATAATCAGTCAGTGACTGAGCTGTGTATATAGTTTTTGTTTTGTACATGTGAACGTTTGATGGTTGAATCCTTAAACTCTACACCAACCCAAAATCCCGAATGTTCATATTGTTCAACAAATTACTCAACACTATACACTCAAAAACTATGTGCATTATTACTTTAAGCGCCTCTGTTAGGAATAACTTGATTACAGTTTTAGAATCACAGGGTTTTACACAGGAAGGGCATTTTCATACATATGAGTATTTTATACCCAAGTTTGCTCTGTATTAGCATTTAGCTTTTGGCTGCTAATAAGTGTGGCTTGTAACCTATGAAAAATGATTTCTTTGGACACAGCCATGGCTGCTGGAGCAGTATCATTACTTGTTTACAGGAATCTTTCACACAATTTCTGATCGACAGGCATGTTCTGTTCACCGCTTTGTTGTAATGGGTGCAATGTTTTTTTTTCTAGTGAGGTCACTCAAGACCTTTTAAAGTTCTTATAACTGCCCAATAATGTGATGGAAGTAAATATAAAATATGTTAGTTTTTTTGAGTACTGTTATTAAATAATTCTTTTGGAAAAAACGCCTTTGATTTATAAGTGCGCAATGGTATTTAAGTTAACCAAATAGGATAGGAAGGGGTTCTTTTCTTCCGTATTCCTCCTGTACCTCGGGATTCGGGGCCAGCTGCATCTGTTGGTGTCGCATAAAACAAAAACCGGTGCCGGCCGTGAGGATCCCAACATGTGACCGGCGGCGCGTCCGCAGTGTGCGCTCGGTGGGGGGAAACGGGAGCGAACACGGCAAGTGTGAGCGGCGCAATACTGGTTCCATGTCGGCGGCTACACGGCGCGAGGGGGCCTTTCGCATTTCGCAGGGCGGCTCATCGACCTGCGCTTATTTCTGATTTACGTATATCTTCATAACTACCTCTCCCTATTGTCCTCTTTTTCCATTTGAGATAAATAAAGGGCCACGTCTGACCACTGCCCGCAAAAGGGGGGACTCCCCCGTACCTTTGGGGCGTATTCGTGGCTTTTTGGCTGGGGAGGGGGGCGGCTCTCCTCACTTCCTGACTTTCTCCTACCGTCTGCGGGATGAACTGCAGTCTGCGTGGCTGAAGCGAGGGGCGGGTGGAGGAGGAACTGACACGTGGATTATTAACAGTCCCGGACCCAAGGAGGATCCGGCCCGGGAATATAGCTAGGCGGCGGGGCGATCCGATCATCAGCCCGCGTTTGTCTTACTGGGGCGTCCGGTGGTGTCCGGAGCTCCGAGGGACAAGAAGGAGACCATGATCGGACAATTTTAACCCGATGCAGTTGCCCTGCTCCCCCAGCGGACCTCGCAAGTCCTCGGATTGCTAATTTTTGTTTGTTTGTTTTTTTTTTGTTTGTTTTTTGTTTTGTTTTTTTAGACTTGCGGGTTTAAATCGGGAAGCCCCGCTCGTTGAATGGCAATTTTACAAAAGCATGGCAAGAGCTGCAATCCGGATTTACCCGACCTTAAAGATAATCCCCCGGACAGTTTCGGGGTCGCGGGGTCTCAGAGGAAGTGGGCGGATAACAACGCGAACTGGCCCAGGTAAGCGGGGAGGGTGAGGGTTAATGAAGCACCGGCAGCCCCGGACCGGCTTTTAAATGGGACACGTAGACGTCGGGCGGTCAAGGCAACTATTATCTGTCTGTTATCTTACGGGGGTGATCATGACCTATTATCTGGCTGTTAAATACCGGGGCTGATAATGACCTACAGCACAGCAGCCATAGTCACACTTGCTAGCTACAGATCTTATATTAAATTATTGTGTAGATACCTTAAGTGAATTTGACAGTATAGGCTAATGACATTGCGGCATTGATGTGTATAGGCTGGTTCTCCAACGAGGGTTATACGGACTTTGAAAGTTTTTAGTTAATGGGTCGTGCCTTTGTAGTATAACGTGTATTAACCAAGTATTAAAGCCGAATCAGTTGTTATTTTTGCCTTGTTATTTCGACGTTAGCGCCTATAGTCTCATGAAGGTTATGACGGCTTTTACAATGATTTTCCGGGACCTGTGAGCGCGCAATCATATGGCCTCCGGGTGCGATTGAAGCTGTTATGGATCTATGAGTTTGTCAAAATCTGTCCTTCATTCTTTCTTCCTTTTCATTCTCTCGTTCTTCCTTTCCCCTCTATTATGAAAGTATATGAAACTGTCCGCTAAATAATTTCACGATGCAATACCTGTATTACTGTATTTTGTTTTTGACATAGAATGTTCAATAAAGATGTCTTAGATAAAGTTACATTTGTGCTTAAGTTTTATCACGGGAGTGCGATTCCTGGAAAATATCCCTAATTTACTAACTATAGCAAAGTATTTGACGCCAACGCGGTGCACAGGGCATATAATCAAAACACCAGCACAGCAGCCTAGACTTTCTTTATATTAATCGTTTGCTATGAGTCATTTGATTTACCTACTTTTTAACAATTGGCGTATTTATCGGGGTATAATGTTTGTGACTTAGTCCCTCATCACAAATTTGGATTTGAGGAAGCATTTAGCACGTATGTTATCAGATCTCTGTGTGTACCAAAACCTGCTGATCTTTTTAAGGGTTTCCTGTTATCTTTCCGCAGGCCGTTAGCGCGCGTGTGGACGGTGGTTCTTCTACTGGGAACATGCCTGCTGTACTGCGCTCGTGTGGCCATGCCCATCTGCGCCGTCTCCATGGCGGATCAGTTCAAGTGGAGCAAGAGGGAGTCCGGCATGGTGCTCGGGAGCTTCTTCTGGGGGTACTGCTTCACCCAGGTCATCGGAGGCTACGTCAGTGACAGGTGGGGTCTGGGACGAATGTCAGCTTCTCCGTCGACCTTCCAGGGCCAAGTCCACGATAAGCAAAATGGCAATGCTTTGTCCAGACGGTTAACACAAACATGTCGCTCTTTATTGATTTATTTTGTGCTGGTTTTTATTTACATTTAACTTGTTTATCAGGTGCTTTTAGCAAGAGCGATGTACTTTTTTTTTGAGAAGGCAGGGTTAGGGGCTCACTAAGGCGGCACCCAGCAGTGAAAGCCAGAGGATTTGAACTGGCAACCTTCTGCTTGCAGCATCCCAACTTGACAAGCCACACACTGAGCCACTAATAACTATTAGTTTATTATTTTATGGATTTGCATGCAAATACTATGTAAACTGAAGAAACACAGACTCAGTCAGGAATCAGTGGCCAAAATGACATGCTCTTCCGTATTGCATGTAAACATCAACATTACTTCCCCTTTCTCAGTATCAGGCAGCATCACATGGCTTGTGGTTTTATACTGTTTGCATTGTTATATCTTCAGATCTAGATGGAAGCATCATACAAGTCCAGCTGATTCTAAGTACAGGTTTTGTGCTGGAAGTCATGGTGAAATAGGCAGGTCTAGCCGGTTTGGGTTTGGCTCCTGTGTCAGCAATTCCAACCAAATAAATGACATGAATGCTGTCGCCTTTGTTTGGTTTTTAAATTCTTTTTTTTTCGCCGCTGTTTGTTACGCATATGTATCTGATTAGTAAGACTCGTTCCAAACACGTCACAGAAGAACACTGGCTCACAGAATCACTGTGTCGCTTTTGTGTTTTTTAATCCTGCCCACTGATTTCAAGAAGGTGAATTTCTAAGAATAAAAAGTTCGTTATAATGCAAAAAAGTACGGGGTGGCCGTTGAAACCGAAGGGACACTGTCTCCGTTGTCGCCTGCTGTGGCAGCATGGAGTCTGACTCTGAGAAACTGCAGACAGAAGTCTGAGCTGTCAGAGATACCCAGTACACGCTGAAGCCAGCAAACGGCAGCTTGATCTGCGTGACACGAGAGCACTGAGCTGGCTTTGGACTCAGACCCACTGCCTTGTAGGACCGAAGCAGGAAGTCTACACCCTGCGTAGAAAAAGTCACGCTAGAGTAACAGAAATGGATATCGCTGTAGCTCACAGTCATGCACTGTGGTCTATGACATCATCACTGCTGTTTTGTGACAGGGTGGGCGGGGAGAAGGTCCTCCTGTTGTCCGCAGCGGCCTGGGGCGCCATGACCGCCTTTACGCCCATCCTGGCTCACTTCTGCTCCCAGCCCATAATCTCCATGATGCTTTCCCGGTTCCTCATGGGGCTCCTGCAAGGTGAGGAGGGGGTACGGGGGGGAGGGTGGACACAGCCTGGATAGAGGGGTTTTGGGGGGTGGGGTGAGAAGAACATTTAGAGAAGTTTCTGGCAGCCAAGACAAATCTGGGAGGTATGCAGAAAACAAAAGAACGATTAAGAAGGACAGAAAGCATGGTGGTTAGGAAGCATGGACAGGGGCGTGATGGGACCAGAAAGTAAAAATCCAAACCAGGATTTTGTTTCAACCAACCAGTTCAGTATAAAGAGTCACAGTCGCAGAGTACTCAACTGGTTGGTTGAAACAAAATCCTGGTTTGGATTCTTACATTCTGGGCCTGAAATGTCCGCCTCTGGATGGGACATGCTAAGAGGTGGTGCCATTTGGGGGACAGTAAAAGTTATTCTTTTTTATCTGCACTGTCAGGCTGGAGGATAGATCTGTCTAATTTCATTTATATTATCCAGAAACTTTCTGGAGTGCCTGGCAGCTGTTAAGATCAAAATGTTTTCAGGCAAAGAACTGTCGGTCCGTTGCCTGGATCTGAGGGGAGCCGTGCCGTTTCGCTTTGTCGTTCAGGCTGTATGAATAAAATTTTCTCATGGAGCTTCGAGAGGCTGGTTGCTAATCGGAATATCAGACACACATACAAAGCTCCTACAGCCACGTCGACAGTGATCCACTAACAGGGGAACCAGTAGCACAATCTGGACTTTCAGCCTAAAGATCGTGGGTTCAGGTTGATGGGTCCAGCAATGGTTTGTTTTGTGCCCAGAAATCAATAAATCGATAAAGCGATTTCTGGAAAAGGTTCTCGTATTAATATGTAACACAAGGCTATGTTTAGCATGTCTGGTATCTGGTATTGATGATATACAGCAGTGTTTCGCAAACCAGTCCTCAACCAGAGAATTGGGAGAGAGAAAAAACCTGGACCGCTGAGGATCCCCAAGGACTGTTTTGAGAAACGGTGATTTACAGGTTTATGACCCAAGTATTACCTGATAGATTTCTAATAATGGAATTACACTCTTCTATGTTATTGGACACATTGATCCAGCTTTCACTGAGAATTATGCGGAGATTTAGGTTGTACCCCAAACTCATGCCATTTCCTTCATTCCTATTGACTCTTTCTGTACATTTGAATCAGTCTCATGTATATCTGGAGGTAACTTGGCTCCATCCTCTTTACAGAGCTGCCTCTTCTCGTTGATAATTTTGTGCATGAGCATCTTTTTCCGGGTCAGAGCCCATCATGAATTTCGTTAAGGTTAGGACTTTGACTCCGTTCCAAAATGCAAAGTTTCTCCCGATTCAGCTGCTTCTCTCCGTTTGGGATTATCACCCTTCAGCACTTCTTTTACACTTCAAAAGACACTCTCCTGTAGAACTTGCCGGTACAGTCTAGAAGGGCCTGTTCCCTCGGCGATGGCAGGCCCTTCGAGTTCTGAAGCTGGGGGTCTCATACATCGACACTCCTGGCGCTATGATCCTGTGGGTGCCGTGTGTTTTCAGTCCACGGAACTTTCTGGATTACCCATCTGGTCTTTGGCAACCATGAGACTGATGGGCATGTTCTTTCTGTGTTTCTCATTGCTGTCTAACCGCACACACCTGAAACAATCAGCAGTTTCATTATTGTGGACTTACTGGATAATGACGTCGGTTAACAAAAAAAGGTCTGTAAACCAGTGCTTCTCAACCCGGTGCTCAGGCATCCCCAGACAGTCCTTGTTTTTGCTCCCTCCAAGCTCCTAGCCGGACAGTCCACTGTTTTTCTGGGACAGCTCTTACCAGAAGCTGGGATGAAGCAAAAACGTGGACTGTATGGGGGTCACAGAGGACCGGGTTGAGAAACACTGCTGTAGACCAGTTAGTTTCTTGTGAACTCAAGGATCATTGTGTTGTTTTATTAGTTGTTTCTGGGTGGCCTTTCCCTAGGAAGAGTAAAAGTATTTTGCAAATGGAGAAAATTCAGCACTGTCTGCTTGACTAGGGAACATTTGGTGATTGTTTCTGACGTCCTCCGAGAATTTATTTGGCTCGCTTCTGCAGACCAAAAAATAGCATGTTCCACACGTCATGACCATACCACCGACCAGTGAGCTCCTGTAGGGAAGGACTCACATCTACACCTGGTCTCATTTATCGGAACATTTGGTTCAAATTTCCTTCTGAATCAAGTTCATTACCCTGGAAGTGCCAAAATACAGCTGGGATACAGATAATTCTGAATGTTTCCCAAGCGTCCTTTTGCACTGTACTTCAGCACTGTACAGTGCAGTGGTAGATGTTACAGTTGACCTATTTTCGTAGGTGTTCACTACCCCTCCTTGGCCAGTCTCTGCTCTCAGAAGGTGACAGAGAGCGAGAGGGGATTTCTCATGAGTACGGTTGGCAGCGGGTCCTACCTTGGGTGAGTTTCCGAGCCACTTGGTCCCCTTGGGTGTGGAATGATGTCACTACAGGCCGCCTCAGAACCCCGCCACCTCTGCTGTCCCCAGGACGTTGGTGATCGGAGCGGCCGGCTCACTGATGCTGGACCTGTATGGCTGGGAGAGCGTTTTCTACGTCACGGGCTTGCTGTCTGTGCTCTGGGCTTACTGCATGTGGAAGTACCTGCTGAAAGGGGAAGGTAGGAGTGCATCGTTGGCTACCCGAAAATAAAGTAGAAATAAACACAACGAAGGATAACATATGTAAATGTACACTAAATATGTAAAGTAAAAGGTCAAATCTGTAATAAATAGGAATTGTGCAAACTAAGTTTAATTTGCTTTTTTGCCTGAAACGATAGCATTCTTATGGATTTTAGTATGTAAGTGCTTGGATATGTGTAATGTTTTGGAATTGGTTGCTAATGCTGCCTGTTTGTGTTTTCAGATCCAATCATCACACTGGAGTCCTTGGGTAGCGCAGGGACTCAGTCCAAACTGGCCAAAAGGCATTGGCTGCGCTTGTTAAAACAGCCAGCAGTGTGGTAAGGCACCGGGGCTCAATGATGGAGTCTGTGACGCATGTGAGCTGCAGAGCTGAAGCAGGCCTGCTCCGAGGTTAACTCTTGTTATGCTGACGGGTCCCTTTGAAGACCTTGTTAGGGAGCAGTGAAATATTACGTGGAGTCCGGTCGCCACAAATATCTTTCTCTGACATGTGGACAAAGACCTGGGAAATGTTGACGGTCCCTTGGTTTGTTCGTGGCTGTAGCTGTACGCCAGAAGCAGATGTGTGTGTCTGAACTTAATCAGTGAGTTTATTGGTGCTGTAGCACAAAGCTCTCTGCCGGACTACATGAAGTTAGATTATTAATGTGGGCCGTTTAATAGATATTATAACAGAAAATAGATATTATAAAATGTGCTTTATATATGTGAAAGCTCATTCAGTTTTTGTACTGTATCTGGGAGGAAAGTGCATCTTTCAGTTTTACCTTAAATAATGTTTTAAAGTTAATGTGGGAGGGGGTAAATAACCATAAGACATAAGTGCAATAATTAAGAGATCGAGAGGGCTAGTGTTTTGAACGTGTGCCTTAGGTGTTTCGTAGCTCGACCGGTCGAGCCCTGTGCTAACAGCACAGAGGTCAAGGTTTCAAATCCCAGGGAGCGCACACAAATCGTAACCTTTCTGAGATTATCTCAGAGTAGTGGGGCTGTTTTTCACATGAGCTGAGCAGTCGAAGTTGGGGTTGGAGTTGATGACCCCCGCCCCCCCGCCGGCCACTCGCAGTGCTCGATAGGTGATGCGCGGTTCTCTTCCTCTCTTCGCCAGCGCGGTCATCGTCACGCACCTCTGCACTGCCAGCACCTTCTTCACGCTGCTGTCGTGGCTTCCGACCTTCTTCAAAGACACCTTCCCTGATGCTAAGGTAACGTCTGGAAGTTCTCCTTTTTAAAGAACTTTAAAAAAAAAAAAAAAAAAAAAGCAAAGACATTTCTGGGAGTTCAATTCAAACGCCCTCCCGCAGATGCGCTCTAGTGTTGCTGTAGAGGCAGTGCTTGCAAGCGTCCACCAGATGGCGTAGCAGTAGAATTTACAGGACCTGGTGAAAAATCCCGAGAGCGGCTGCAGCGGTTCAGATCAGGTCACTGCGCCAGTCAGAGGACAGGGCCTTGAAAGTGTGTGGCTCAGCGAGTTAGCTCTCTGCGGTGGGTCAAATCCCTGGGTCAGCAGACTGATGTCACCTTTGGGCCCTTCAGCAAGGTCCTTAACCCCAGTTGATCTAGGAACCGTCTGACCCTGCTTTCACCAAGATATGTATGTCACTTTGGGGAAAAGTTTCTATTAAATGACTAAATGTAATAATGTGGAGGCAGTTTAGTTTAGTAGTTCATTATAAATTTCTCATGTTAAACATGAGTAAAATGTTCTGTGCAGCAGTTCTAAGAATGCTTGTTTGTAATTATTCCTTAATTGCTCACTGTTTTATTCGTGTGATGCATAGAATTGTCTGCCAGTCTGCATTCGAAGCGGCATGCCCTGTGTTTTTGCCATCGGTGTGCCCGTCTGCTAGGCACGGTCTCCAGAGAGTCTCTATGGTAACCGGTCTTCTGAATGGGGGCGTGTCCCGTTTACAGGGCTGGGTGTTCAACGTGATCCCGTGGTTCGTGGCCATCCCGTCCTCGCTCTTAAGCGGCTGTCTCTCGGACCACCTCATCGGCCAAGGTATTGGGGCCGCGGTTCTCACCCGAGGGGGACGGTATGTTCCCGATCTGATCTGAGTCTCACGTGACTTCCTCTCTGTGTCCCAGGGTTCGACACGGCGGCCGTCAGGAAGCTAATGCAGGTGGGTGCGGCGGTAACCTGCGTTTAGCCAAAGACGGCTCCCAGTTTCACCCGCTAATTTTCAGGATCGTAGATTTTTAAATCGTCCTCGTGCAGGCGCAGTAACTCCAAGACTATGGCTTTCATTGGCGCACACGCAGAAGATAGATATACACAATCAAATGTAAATAAAATAGAAATACAAATACAGTAATTGCCCAACAAACCAGTAATAACACCTTATTTACATCAGAGGTTTAATAACGGCAGGAGTCAGAATATTACAACTAACGTAATGCAAAGTATAACCGTCTAAAACAAAGTACTGCAGAAAAGAAGTAGCACTTGAAAGCGTGTACTCACTCTGATGTAGTACCTGTAATTTTTTAACTACAATTTGCTTTTCGTTTTAACACCTAATGGGCAGTTTTGTATTGTCCACTATCCCCGTGGCTGTTTTTACATGAGAATTGAAGACTCCTTGCATCTTCTCCCGCTTAAAGAGCATTGTGTGTGTGTGTGTGTATGTCTGTAGTTCTTCTCCATGGGTGTGTCCAGCATCTTTACCCTCTTCCTGTGCGGCACCCCCACCTTCCCCACGGCCGTGGCCTTCGTCTCAGCCACCATGGGTCTCACCACCTTCAGCCACAGGTACCTGCGCGCCGACAGACTGATGCTGCTGTAGCACACAGCTTCCACTAGAGGGCAGCAGATGACAAAGCAGTTAACGACTGGGACTGGTAACCTGAATGACAAGGGTGCTTAATGATTCTTTATTTGCCGTTTATACAAGTACATAAGAATATTTCCATCTTGCTCTCCTATGAGTGCAAATATTGTGATTATAGCACCATTATAGCATCATTTTTTTGGTACCCCTGGGGCAGTTTTCTGGGGTTAAAGGCTATGCTCTGGGGCCCTGTGGTGATATGATTTCCCTGCTGGCCATAGGATCTGAACCAACAACCTTCCAGAATCCTAACCACTTTTTTGTTCGAGTCCCTTAAAGAGTTTGGGTGTAGTAAGTTTGACTAAACCCGAATTGCTCAATAAAAATACATATTTACGTACGTAATGCTTAGTTAAGAGGCCACATCTGTATCTATATACATACTTGTATTCATGTGATCCATTCATGTACCCCCTGTTTGTGGGGGTGCTTAGCTGCATGCTACATGCCTTTGTATACATGTCAACACGCACAGCCCGCATGTGTACTGCATGTCTGATATGTACATACCGCTAACGCACTTTTCCTCTCAGTGGGGTTTCAGTCAACGTCCAAGACCTGGCGCCATCTTGTGCTGGGGCCCTTTTCGGTGAGTACTGACCCCACAGGCACTGGGATGCATGTGGAGGGGGGGGGGTTGTCATTGGGAAGATGTGGACTCATCATATGAGGCCCATGCGAACCGCCGCTTTCTCTAGAAAGATTCAAGATACTCTGACACCTCGTAATAAAACTCCATAACTCCAAATTTTATGACGTCTGCTTATGGTAATGATGGCTTCAGCTGAGCTGTGAAGGCATGTACTCGCATACTGGTACTCATACGCATGTACTTACATACTGGTACTCACATACTCATGTACTAACATTCTCATGGACTTTTTTCTGCCTTGGTAGTAGATGATTATGGGGTTCCTACTAGCTAAGTGAAAGCCTTTAAAATGTTGATTTTTTTTAAGAACTCCCTAAATCCATGTTTAGCTTTGTTTTCTTGCGCCTTACTCAGTTCCTGTGCTGCTTTTGTTAATTGTCCCCTGATTGACAAGTATCCTGATTTATGGGGTGCCCACGTTTTGACAATTGCTTTTAACGTACATTAGAGGAGATGACAGACTGTCTCTCTGTTACAGGCCCACAGATTCTCTTAACTATTACTATACATCTATTCCATCCATCCATCAATCCTCAAGCTATTCATTCTGTCTGGGCTGTGGGCTTTACTGCGCATTCAGATGCGAAACTGCTGTAATCATTTAAAAATGAATCTCATTATGCCGGCATCTGGGTAACAGATGTTGCTGTAGAAATATTATTTCTTATTAAGCTTTATGAGCGGGATGACGATGATTTTGCTCTCTCTGCTTCTGCTGCAGGCATCATGAACACGTGCGGAGCCTTCACAGGTGAGACCGACGTTCTGTGCAATTAAGCTTTTATTCCTGCTTCGTTTGGGGCGTGATCTGCTAAATGTCGCAGGAGTGCCCGTTTGGAGGATACGAGCTTTACGACGGGCTGTCTGCTCCCCGCCATGTCTCCTCTGCGCGTTAGCGAGCTCGTTAAATCGAGCTGAATTTTAATTTGCTAAATGGAAGTAATTAACGAATGGGAAATGTGTGATTAATACCGGCACTGAGCACACGGATGAATAAGCCAGCTGGACAGGGTGTTAAGCTCACTGTGAGCCTGACGCTGATCACAGAAGAATGGGCAGTCCGTGGTCTGTGGTCATATCAATGTGCTCCTACCTCTGCCGTCCTGTGCGCTCCTGTGCCTGCGGTCCTAACCATGCGCTCCTGTACCTGCGGCCCTAGCCATGCGCTCCTGTACCTGCGGCCCTAGCCATGCGCTCCTGTACC